ACCAGTGTCACATGGAACCTTGGTAAGTAACATTGACAGCGGAAAGTATGCCAATTCTTTTTCTCCTGATACTTCGTTTTCATAAGAATATTGTTAATCGTATAGGCATTTATTGTCGTTTGTTACTCTAATACCCAACGACTCCTGACTTTAATATAAGACTGGAATATTTATTTGACATCAATTGTATGTAAATAAACATAAGCCAAGTAAATGTTGAATGTACATGTTTTATTATTATTAGCGTTAAGAATAGATGGAGTAATGCTATTTTGTTTGTTTGTTTGTTTATTTGTTCGTTTGTTTGGATGTTGTTTATTTAGAATTAATGGCCTATTTACATAGATAATTACGTTATGTAACTACTGCCGTTCTTATGTCGATGCGCATATTCTTACATACAGTAGTATTTTTCTCGTGAGTCTTAACGTATGTAACGTGACCAATCTACTAAGTTACCAATCTACCAAGTTAAAGAAAGCATGCAAACGATTGTTTGAAAAAAAATTGTAAAATGATTTATTGTAATAAAAGAGCTGACCCGTCTTCTAATTTTGAACCCAATAACGTACGGTTCGAATATCAATTTATGTACATTTTTTTACATACTTTAATTTTGTCCTGGAAAAACTAAATTATGACAATATACATTCTACCCGCATTTTCTTTATGATTTACATATATTTTAGTGCAATGATAAAATGAGATTTCATGCCAGATTTTATTCATATTATTTGACTTATATCAGTGTTGATTTCACAACGAAGCAAATCCTTCTTTGTGTTACCTACTTTGAAGTATACAGGTTTAAATTATGTTTTCTAATGTAAACAGTTTTTAACACTTTAGGCAGAAGTATTAACATACAAAAGAGCCAAAATATGTGCACTGCACTCTAAGCTGCTTCGAATGCAGTCATGCATGTGATTGGATTACACTTTAAGTATATTCAGCAATGTTACGGTACTTAATGGTTGAATTCAATTTCCATAGATTAGGTAAAACTATTTCAAGTTTGTACATACAAATATTCAGCTGACTTTTATGTTAATAGCAAGGCCTACCGTTGCATTAAAGGTCACGGATTTTGTTTACATATATTTATATAAATATAAAAAAATAAAAATAATGACAAAGTTGATATGCTTATCACATATTGACCAAGAATGAGCAATGTTGTTTTATTCCTCTAGATACTTTACATTGATTATATTATTATCCTCTCACACATTCTTTGAATAAATTCAAATGTACGTAAACTACCAGTCCAATAACATCGCCAGTCAATACACATTTAAAGCCTCTATAATAGCAAGTGGTAACGGTCAAGGGAGTTAAAATTTGTTTCAGATCTTTTCTTACTTTGTTAGCTAGAGTATTGTCCCTTGCGAATTTAAAGCGTTTAATATTGTTTGACACGCAATTTCTAACACCAAGGTTTCTGTGACAGGTTTATTTATCGAACAATTAAAAGAAACCACAATAAAGTAAAATAATCAAAAATTTTTAGTATAATTGTCTCTCTGTAAACTGATATTTAATTTCAAATGTCAAAATAATATTAAGTCCAGACATTATAATATTTGTATTTTGCTGAAATTCAGTTTAAATGCTAGGTAATAGTCTTAAATGTCACTCGAGCCATGAAATAACATAGTAGTGCGGGAAAGTATCTTTATCATAACTATCATTATTTACAATCAGTAATGAGGTCGACATATTTAATTACATATTGCATTTGCCTAAATATCATAGTGTTTTTTACTATTTATTTCTAAAAATATGGTGTATTGCGATAGTCCCGCGAGTTCGTTTACTTTATATCAGTTACGTTCAGTTAATATTTCGCTGTTTTCAGTTATGTATGTTGAAACAATGGAATAGTTTAAGAATGAAATTGAATTTTTATGAATGATAATAAGCTATACACATGGTTGAATGCAAGATAAAGTGCTTTTACGGTAGCACGTTCAATCATACCATAAAGATAACTGTAACATAAATAAGTATGCGTTTAATTATAGCTAATCTGACTTATTAAAATATCCTGATAGCTTACAGTTTATTTCACTTTTACTTCACCAACTGTGTCAACATATATAATCTGTTTATTTTAGTTTGAAATATACACCAAAAGCTTTGGATTGCAGAACAAAAAGATGCGTCTAATATTGGTAAAATTTGAATAGTTTCTATAAACGTTCACCTTAATAGCCACAGTCAGTATGCGTCCTCAATCATGCGCCCCATTTAATAAATACACACATCCGAGCTATCAAATATCTCTACATCAAGTCATAATTTCATTTCACTTTCATAGCAAAAAATATTGATTACTCGCTCCATTGATTTTAATCAGCTCAAGTAAATATCAAATAAACATTCATTCGTGGAAATAGAGGAACGTATTGGTCATGCCTGGTACAATATACGGATGGGTTTTTAAAGTTAAGGATGGGTTTCACTTTATGAACTCAGTACCTATTTTAAAATATTTATACTTTCGGGAAGATTTATTAACATATATGATACAGTACCACTCAACGTGATTTATTAATTATTTTTATATTTATTTATTTTTCTTTATTTGTTTGTTTGTTTGTTTGTTTTTCGTTCGTTCGTTCGTTCGTTCGTTTGTCAATATTCATTATTGTCAACAGTTCAATAAGTATCCTTATACTGTTCGAGTCACTAGTCGTAATTTTGAAATAGACCCTATTCTTAAACTGATTGGTGTTTTGTTAAATAACATAATGCTGATTTACTTGTTCCTATTTCTTTCAAACAGTGTCAGTCTATTCTACTCACTTGTGATAAAGTAGGATTTTTGCAATTGATTTGGAATAAGTGCGCAGCTCTTATCACTTAGATATAAAATTCTCAGACTTCTTGAGAATATCTTACTTTTCATTTTAAAGCTTGAGAAAGCCACTTGGAAAGCATGCTATGAAATTTAGGATAGCTAAATGGACCATTTACTTTGTTACAACTGCTTTCAAATGTATGTACATAAAGAAAATGACAATCGCAATTCTTCTATAAATAACTGTATCTTTAAAAGAAACAATTACGTTATCATAAGGCTATAAAAAGGTGAGAATAAAGGAATGTATTTCAGAATTTTTGCGGATATATTATTGTTTAATATCAAATAACACACAGTAAAACGGGGGTGGGGGTCTTACAGTCAAACCTCCTAAAACTGTAAAATTTCAATTTACTATTACTATTTAATGACTCGCCATCACAACTTAAGAAAACGGGCGATTTTTGTGAAACCAAATGAGTTGTCAATGTAAAAAAAAAATACAAAAAAGAAATCATTCCCGTGAATGTTCCTTAAAGACTTAAAGAGTGCTATTTTGATTACTTTCTGCAGACAATCAGAACTGTCCGAGGTTACATAAAACCAGTTGTGGTTGGAGAGAAATCTCTTCCTCGGGGCATATTAGAATTATTTTGTTCGAATTTCTTTGTTCCTCAGCCAAATTAGGTTTTACACTAGTACGGAACACGTCTTTATTTCGGGAAGCTATTGGTGGGGATTTATATTCACATTACAATTAATACGATTATACGTAAAATAATCTTGTAATGTCTTACACACGTGATTTGTTTTATTTAAGCCTTTGTTGCGGAGGACGATCCCTCATAACCCTCAGCGCAATTTTTCGTTCCATTCAATTAAAATGTTTTACAGAAAGATGATAAAAACTAGTTCAATCCATTATCTGCCGTTCCGCCTTTTTTGTTAATTTAGAAAAAGGGAAACTGTTTAAGAAGGAAATCCCTATTTAACGCCGGTTATCCACAAATATTTGTTTAACTGGTTAGTCAATAGCAAAATGGTGCAAACAAAGCCAGTTTTAAGGGTTTTTTTGTAATTTTAAAGAAATTTAAAACGTTGAATTATTACTTGATATGATGTTACATTTTTATATGATATACTATTAAAGCTAAATAACCCCTTTACCCTGAACAGATAAACTTTTTTTTTCATTGCATTGGTCAATTTAGGATATGAAAATTGTTTTATCGTTCGCTGGCACTATTTTTCTTTTCAATCACGATTGAGGTAAAAAAAGAAAATACGGAGGAGTAAACGTGTATTAAAGAAAAAATGTCGGTAACGCAAAAATGCTACTACGGTTACACCTATGATAAATTAACGAGGTAAAATAACATCTTAGCTAGATTGAAATAACATCATTAGATCCGAATAAAAGATTGCACAATGTTGAGATGTTAATCACGAGATATATTTCACTGATTTAATCTAAATCAGACAATACGTACAACCATGTGATACGTATCAAGCTAATAGGTTTTTTGTTATTGTGTTAACATAGCCTACATCCTTTATCCAAGGTTTGAATTTCAGCGTATATAACAGTCATTCGGGATAAGAAATAATTCGGTGTAAAAACAGACTCGCAGAAAAAAAGAGATTGAATCGCTCCAAGGAAAATAAATATTTGTTAAAAGAAAATTGATTAGCATAATTTGAGTAAAATATAGGGGTCTTTCTGAATCACAAGCAGCATTCTTTTTCAGATTAACAATTTGATGGGGGAAAAATGTCATTACAGAATTTACAAAATTGTGAAAATGCAGTTAAACATATCCAGTGCTCAAATCATCAAATGTGCATTCACGTGTACTTATAGAGAAACATTTCTCAAACTTAAGGAAAATATTTTTAAAAAAAATTAATATTGTTTAGATTAGGATAATTTTTTATGTAGTTTTGATTTTTTCCCTTTACTTTTATTTTTCATTTATATATTTTAAATATTTATTTTATATTAACAATAGTAGTTAACTTCTGAGTATAAGAGTATTCGAGAGTGTTTCAATGAGCTTATAGCTTCCAAAACAATTGAACTAAAATAAATTTGTATAGATTATAAGTGCCCACGAAGAAAGTCTAGTGCTTAACTACTAATTGCAGTGAAACTGAATTTGAAATAAATAAAATTATGATTAATATCTTCACCTACCATTATCTGAAAATAGTAAGAATAATAACGATATGATGACGATCCTTCCAGAAGAAACTGTCCTCAAAAATTTCAGCCACTTTATCATCTTGCCGGTTATTCCAATTTTTATTGTATCACATCGTTTATTTTTGCTATGCGTACATAACCAAACGTGTGCACATTAAATATAGATATTCCCAATTTACATATAAAAAGTCACTATTTTGACACTTAATTACTCCATGAAGAGACTCTCTGTAGGATATCCAAAAGTTAAATCCATTGTCTACGAATATCTGAAACAAAAAACTAAATACCAATGTAGTGTGGCATAGGTCACAAGTCTTAGTCAGACGTGTATTGTTTAATAATCCGCACAGAGTAAATGAAAATATCACAACTTTTCAATACTGCGAGAATAGAAATTATCACTTATATTACGTAAACATGTAGCAGAAAAAAATATTTATTTCCATCAAAACAAAGTCAATGACACAAACAATATTCCTTTAATTTAAATATAATTTTGGTATTTTTATTTTACAAAAAAAAAAAGAAAAAAAATGTAATACCATTAAACACAAGTATCTGTAATTTAATATCCCGTTACATGCATTAATAACTCTCGACGCCACTTTATCACAAGTTAATCTTTAATCCAGTGAAATGCTCCACCTAAAAGCTTATAAACGTAAGAGCGCCTGGCTATTTAATTCAATAAATCATATTTCGACAGTGCGCGCCGTTGATCTTATTCATAAAACGCTTGATTGAACAGTGCACCGCCGCGTCTACGTGTTTTGCACGCTGAACATCCAGTCGAGTTCAAGATACCGCATTAAACAAATATAAACTGATCCTAACATGCGATTACATTTATAACTCATTCCATAACAAACACATTTTTACAAATATTGGTTGTACTGCTACAGCAGAATGTTCACGGCGAGCTCTATTCTGATTACTTTCCGATGCAAGCATCGTAATATCTCCTACTTGTACACAAATGCTGACGGGAGATTTGACGAGCCAAGTATGTCTTTTTTCATTCTTATTTGAATACAACATAGGCAATTCATTTTGTTTGGTCTAATCAATTCCCGCACTTCCATTAATTACAACCACAATGATCCCAAAAGGGAAATGAAACAAATTTCCCACCGGTACCTATGCAAAAAAGTCTGAATTTCATTGTAATTGTGGTAAATTATCAGTTTGCAGACCAACTTAAATATTGGTGTCATAAAACGATGCGGCAAACAAATTGACTGTTTTGAATTTCACCGCTCCTCTTATGACAGTCCCATGCGGCGAATTTAATGTTAATTTAAACAGGAACGTAACCCTAATTGGTCAAATAAACAGTAGCCGGCAGATGTTTACTTTGTCCGGCGGTCGATAGCCCCAATTGTGGCGATCTCTTTGATGCGTATAAAAATTTGTTTAAAAACAGCAAAACTAAACAGTAGTTTGTTATACGAGTATCTCTAAATGCAAAAGTAATTATAAAAGTCGGAGTCCTTTCTGTTTATATATTTGCATAATATTATAATCTCTACCAACATGTAACTGGTATATGTAAATGTCCTTTTCTAAAGTACATGTACAACATTCCGTTTAAAAATCACAAAACTAGAAGTTATATTCTTCAATGATTAACAAAAAAAAAATATTTTGCAATCGCAAAACTTTTAGTAATTTTACGGATTATTATTCAATATCACATGATGAAGTCCTCGAAACAGGAACATTTATTTATATAAAACGCATTTATATTCGCTTAAAGAAATACAAAGATCCGGATATTTAACACTTTAAATTACTCGTGTTACATAATGACGGGCTACTTACATGCATTGCATTTTTGCGTTTCTGTGAAATCGTTACTTCGAGTTAATAAATGTAGGAAATGAAAGGATATAAAATTGTGCAATTTAAATGTGAATAAGATCAAATACCTATTACAATTACGTAAGAGTGTCCAGCAGGTATTTGTTTACATGACCGTTTCAACTTCTTTAAAATTGTGGGTAGTATCACACGTACGCTTACGTGATTTGAATTGATTTTGTAGTCTAACGTTTATCAATATAAGTTCGTAGATCGACATTTTTTTATTCAAATTCATTTCACGCATATTGCTGAAAGTATGCAATGAAAGGAAAATTTCATGACGTATTGGCTGGATCTTATTGTTTGCATACATTTGTATCCCCTGCGGGCTTGTTGGAATGCAACATTACATACTCAAGTTAAACTCTAGAAACCCACCAGAATAGCACATGAATGTTATATTCCCTTATATTCCCTACATGCAACAATTTGAGAATATACATCCCCTATAAGATTCAAAAACAGCAAGATTTATTATATTTACCCGTATATTATAACATGCTTTGGTACAGCACACCTCCATTTTTTTAAAGAATGTTTAACATTTAACTTTTCAGCCTTTCATTATTATCTTTGTGTTTTTGCCAAGTTGTCTGTGGTTGAGATTTAGCTATAACCTTATTTATTCTTTAAACTTCTTTCATTTTGAACTTGTGTCTGATTATTTTTTTCAGTTACAAGGATATGTAAAGATGTCATTTCAACGCAAGAAATAAACGTTTCTTTTATTTAACAAAGGCCACAATTTTAGAGTTCCAGATTATATAATGACAACGCAATAATGAGGCGTAATATGTTAATATTACTTGCACATGCGCATACTGTACACATCGCTATGCATAGTTAAACAAACTGAATAAATACTGGCACGGACCGACATCTTAAAGCATGAAAAAATGTGTAAAAATTACTTATTTTGCATTACTTAAAACGATCGGACCGATATTAAAAAAACCCTTACTGATAACCGTACTTAAAAACATAAGATGTGCTAGTACTGAATTGCACGATTATTTAGGGAAAAAACAACAACATGTTTTTAGTTGTCAATCTTATGAAGAACTGAAGTATGAAGAAAAATTATTAACAAACATTATAATTGATTTTATATAGTTTTTATAACTATATAATTATACCTTTTCAATATAAATGAGCCGTGTCACGACAAAACCAGCATAGTGGGTTTGCGACCAGCATGGATCCAGACCAGCCTGCGCATCCGCGCAGTCTGATCAGGATCCATGCTGTTCGCTATAAGTTTCTCTACTTGTTATAGGGTTTGTTAGCGAACAGCATGGATCCTGATCAGACTGCGTGGATGCGCAGGCTGGTCTGGATCCATGCTGGTCGAAAACCCACTATATTGTTTTTGTCGTGACGCGGCTCAAATAGTATCCCTGCCATGTATATTGTGTGTGGTCCTGATTTCATTATCATTGCTTTATGAAACTAACGTGATCATATAAGGTTAAAATTTAATGGTACATAAACAAATGTTAAAAAATACTAATTTTTCAAAGAAGAACAACATTTTTTGAACAAAATATATAACGAAAATTCAAAATAAAGAAATCAAAATAAGGACGATTTAAGGATTAAGATCAATATTTGGATCAACTGTTCAACGCGTATATTTTTTCAGTAATAATACATTTTCCTACTAAAATGTCATAATTTATTATTTATAGTCCGTAACCAGAATAAATAAATTTTAATTTCTAGTTTTAACTTGATCCTAATCATTAAATCTTAGTAAACAAGGGTAACGTTTCGCTAATATATCATTTTCATATAAAATTTACTTTTTTAAGTTGAACGGAGCAGATTTTTTAGCGGAAATGCAGTGTTTAGATGTGACTGATTTACTGTCGAATATATTATGGGCGAGCGAGTGAGAACGACACCATCAATACAGCGTTTATACATTCCAGAAACAGCATGTGCTGCTGAGTTATATGTTTAGCATTTTCTCGTGTAAGGGAAGTAACTTGGACAGGTATATTTTGAATAAAACATACTTTCTGTACAGATACAACGTATGTCCATCGACCGATCGTGTGAGGTATCGGCTCATATTTCCTTATTTCAATTACGTGTAAATATTAAGTCATTTTGGTTGTATATATTATGTATAGAGAGTCAAATAACACTTAGAAATGTTTTACGGTGGCAAGTTTTAATGCCATTGTTATAAATCGAACTGGCAAACATCATCATTGATTGGCTTTTTTATGACAGTTATCATAAAGGGCAATTGGTGCTTTAAAATGTCAGAGTTTTACGTAAACTGTTGGCTATGATCGTGTATGAAGCCTTCAACGGTCTATATATTTCTGTAATTAACTCAGCAAAATCATTTATCAAAGATTTATCATAAACTCACGTAAAAGTGGTCTTATTATTTTCTGAATGTCACCAATCAGACTGTTGCATTACGTAGCGGGAAATTAAGAAATGTAAGAATAAAAATAACTTGAGTTACATAATTATATAGAAATGTTATTCGATATTCAATGATGCCTTTATAATATTTATAGCTATGTCACGGATAACATTTGTCTCATGTATATAAATGCATGATATAATTGCGACTGCAAATATCAAACACGTGGCCTGTCACAGTATGCAAATAAATTTGTCACACCTGCTGTGAAATACTATGCAGTGCCACCGCGGCACACACGAAACAACGAAAACACGACAGTACGATGGTGAAGAGTTGAAATAACGAAATAAGCTTGTTGAAAAATCGAAGGTACGATGATGAGAAGTCAAAAGTACGATTGTGGAAAGTCGAACAACGAAAACACGATGGTAAATTCTGGAAACAAAGTGATCCCTCGGAAGCATTAATCACAACAAAATAACATAAGAATTGCAGACTCGGTTTAATTGAGTCTGTACATGAGGGAAAATGAATAAGTGCAACATCCCTCACGCCCCCTAGCACCGGCTTGAGCGGTACTCAATTCTAAACACTTTATAATGTTGGCATCAATGATCCCGAAGGACCAGAAAATATAACAACACTGAAGTGAAGTACGGGGCAACTTTTTACGGCTGCCACACGGCACTTGACACCTGCTGTTGTGAAGTACAAATTCTGGAAACAAAGTGATCCGTCGGAAGCATTAATCACAACAAAATAACATAAGAATTGCAGACTCGGTTTGATTGAGTCTGTACATGAGGGATAATGAATAAGTGCAACATCCCTCACGCCCCCTAAAACACTCGATTTTTACCATCGTATTTTAAACCTTTTACAATCATAGCTTAGTTGTTTCGTTATTTCTTTTTTCATTATGGTACGTTAGGTTAGACTTTTCATCATTGTGTTTTCGACTTAATGGTTACATATGATCAGATAAAGTGTGTTTATACGAATCGAATATACCACTGTCATTTCTATAATTTGTTTTACACATCTTTCACGTGTGACGGTATGATTCAACTGTCCTTTCTGTAGTTTGTCGGAAATATCTGTCACATTTTTAATATTTGTTTTTAAATATTTAAACAATAACAGTCATCATATTCCAGGCAATATTTTCCGATTCCATCGGTACATGTATCTCTTGTACGTTTTCACACTATGCATGCTGACAATGTGACAAATACTTTCATCAACTAATTGCATCATAAACAATATTTAGGAAGCGAAACGGGAAAAGAGAAATTAACTAGAGCGGAAAGTTATATATTATTGAAATTGGCAAACATTTGCTTAGTACATTGTATATGTTTGTTATTCAAATAGTGTAAGATGGAACAAATACAACTAGCGGTGGCCCACTGTCATCGTAAACAAATGTTACATAACCACCCTGTTATAAGAAATATCCATTGTTTTTGTAAGGAACACTGATTGCAACAATGTCTATCAATAAGACAAAAGGGTACACTTTCATTTAAAATGGAGTATGCTATAGAAACATATAGATATGTAGCAAAATGAAAACTATATTTTGTAGAATTAATTAAACTTTTAATGATCTTAGAAAGGGATTACATAATTCGTTTAAGCGAACAAAAACGGGGGTCGGTGATCTCATTTTCCGAGTTTACGCATTCAAGATGTTTTTAAAGCATTAAAGGAATGAAACGATAGAAAGTGGCACATAGGAGCCAACTTTAAATTAATATC